TGCACGTTATGCACATGTACCCTAGAACTTAAAGTATAATAATTAAAAAAAAAAAAAGACAAATCCTAGGAAAATGAATCATAGTAAGAATGCTGGAAACCAGAAGGAAAAACCTTTAGCAACACATTTTTTAAAAAAGACATATTACTCTCTATAAGCCTCACTAACTTCTGAAAAAAAAAGTGAGAAGCCTGAAGACATAAAATGACATTTTTAACATGCTACAATAGGCAATCTAGACTTTTATATCTAATGAAAATATCTTTGAAGTTTAAAGTAAAATATTTCATCAGAAAAAAAAAAAAAAAAAAAAAAAAAAACAGGGAACGTACTATCAGGAAACAGTCCCTACAAGAAAATAGTAGCGTGTTCTTCAGATTATTAAAAAAAAAAAACCTAGATCCCATAGGGAAATATGAAATTGTTAAAGAAAAACGATCAGCCAAGAAAATGGTAAATGTGATAATATAAATATTCTCTTAGTAGTGACAGGACCAATCGATACTAGTAATACTACATTTGTGTCTATATGGTTCAACAAATGTAAAATTAAAATAATCAAATGCAGCAAGTAAATGGCATTAAAGCCTTCTAAGGTTCTAGAAATAGTCAACAGTGCAGATTATAATCTTTAGTAAAAGTTTATATAAATAGCAGATTGATAGAGGATATAACAAGTCAATGATGCATGTTATCATTCGTAGCACAAGAATCTATAACTAGAGTAATAAAGGATAAAATGAATCATAAAACTTAATTCAAAAGAAAATAATAGCAAAAAGAAAAAGGTACTTAAAGCAGGTGGGTCACATACACCAGCAAATAGTAAAATGTATAATAGAAACCAAACGTAGCACTAATTACATTAAATGTAAATGGACTGCAAATTCCAATTACTAAGACTAACAGATAAGATGAAAACACAAAACCCGAATATACACTGATTATGAGACACACTTTAAAGAATGCAGGATGTTTGTAAGTATCATGATGGAAGACATATATCATACAAATGCTAACCAAACAAAACTCTTATAGCTAGTTGGAAACAGGAAATACCAAGTCTCAGTAAGGTAGATTCCTTCAAAAAGGAAATACAAGCAGCATGGATTAGAGATGATAATATCTGAAGAAAACAATGTAAATAGTTGTTTTGCTGGTGATAACTGGAGTATGTCAAAACTCTATCCCTCACTAAATCCAATCAGTAGAAGTGTCATACTTCAATGTAGCTAATATAAACAAAAAGTAGCCTCTGGAGTAGCAATCCCTCTTTTGCCAGTTTGGCTCAAGTAAAAGCAAAATACAGAGGATAGGACAAGAATTATCTAACAGGGGTCAGCAAACTTCTTTTGTAAAGGGGCAGATACTAAGTAACTTGGCTTGTAAGATACACAGTATTTGCTGCAACAACTCAACACTACCCTAAGTTGTAGTATGAAAACAGCCACAGATAAGCGGCACATGTGTGCCTGTGTTCCAATAAAGCTTTATTTACAAAAATATTGCCAACCTGTGATCTAGAGCAGTTGTTCTCAAAAGCATGGCCCCTGGATGGCAACACTAGCATCACCTGGGTACCTGCTAGAAATACAGATTCTCAGCTCCCACCTAAGTAGAATCAGAATCCCCATGAGCAATCTGTATTTTAACCTTCCAGGTGATTTTGAAGCTTAGTAAAGCTTGAAAGCCACTAATCTAGGGAGTATACTATTATTAAACTTATCTAGAGCCACAAGGTACTATATTGATTGTCAAGATTAAAATACTGAGGAGGAAGAACTAAATATCCATCTTAAGGTCTCATACCCATCTCATGCTCAGCAATCGAGACCTAAAATGAGGTTGAGGATTTTAAAGTAAAAATGAAACCCACAGTTGACATATAGATCACCCATAATCATGAAGTCAAAACTGAAGTCATCCTGATTTTCCCAAAAAGGAAAATATGTGGCCAAAAACAGTAGTTACTAAATGTGCACATGGGGAAACTGAGGCTCCAGTTAAATTACTTGTTCAAGCTCTCACTCTCTTCAACATTCAGTTAATCTAACAAACACATCTTTCCCCACCTCTAATGAACTCCACATTCTAGATTCTCTTTATCTTTTCTAACTCAAGTAGGGACATATGTAGCATATAAACACCCCAGACAATATAGAAAACAAGCCAATACATTTATCATATCACTTTTACTATCCTCATTTTGACTTTGGTTTAGTTCAGTCTCTAACTCCCCAACATGAAAATGCCGGAGTTATAATTTTTTACCAAAACTGCAAAATTCCTACCTACAAAAAAGCCTCCAAAAGGAGGCTTTTGGCTGTGTGGTATCACACGGATACCATCACCAACTTCTACTGACTCTACCAACTTCCCTCATCTTACTCCACTTACATACACACACACACACACACACACACACACACACACACAATCTCTCTCTTTCTCCCTCTCCCCTTTCCACCTTGCCTGTTTCAGGGACAAGGCGGTAGGATTAACTGCATAATTATGATGATCTATCACTATATAAAAGATAGAAAAGATGGGGAAAACGTCATTTAAAAAAAAAAAAAAAAGACATTACTTCTGAGCACATTCGTTCTAACCACCTTAAAACCAAAATTCCCTAGTCCAGCTCTTAAAGGAAAAATAACATTTTGATATTAATTACATTTACAGAACTATTCAGCATTAACTACATATTCTAGTTGTGTGTTCTTTTCAAATTTTTCAAAAATGTAAATTTGACTTCTTGAGAAGTCCTATTTATCTATAACTAGTTTTGTTCAGAATATAATTTTATGTTAAACATGTATACTTACATGACAAATAAGATTTAAATTTTTCACATTAATGCTTTAAAAAATTACTAATTTAGTAACATATATTATATATATTACTATATTATGCTGAACTATGAATCCATGAGGCTTTCTGTACAAGACTGACCACACAGGTATTCTTTCCCTTAGATGTCATTACAGTATAAAAATGTATAAGTCAATATACAGATGGCAAATAAGCATATGAAAATAAGTTCATCATCAGCTATTATGGACTAAATGTGTCCCCCAAAATTCTTATGTTGAAATCTAATTACCGGTGTGATGGTATTAGGAGGTACGACCTTTGGGAGGTAATTAGGTCATGAAAATAAAGTCCTCATAAATGAGATTAATGTCCTTTAAAAAGAGGCAGAGAGCTCTCTGGCCTTCTTTCCTCCATATGAGGATAGAATGAGAAGTTAGCAGTCTGAAATTCAGAAGAAGACCTTCACCAGAACCTGACCATGCTGGCACCACAATCTCAGACTTTTGGCCCACCAACACTGTGAGAAAAAAATTTATGTTATCTATAAGCTATTCAGTGCATGGTATTTCACTACAGCAGCCTAAACTAAGACATCAGTCATCAGGAAAATGTAAATTAAAACCACAATTCTACATATTCTTGTCAGAACAGCTAAACTAAAAAATAGTAACATTACCAAATATTTGTGAGAATATTAAGAAAGTGGATTTCTCATACAGTGCTAATGGAAATGTAAAATGGTACAGCCACCCTGGAAAATCATTTGGCCATTTCTTTTTAAAAAATTAAACCTGAGCCAACTGAGCACAGCAAGTTGCACCTGTGATCCCTGCTACTCGGGAGGCTAAAGGAGGAGGATAACTTGAGCCCAGGAGTTTGAGACTGCAATGAGTTATGATCACACCACTGCACTCCAGATTAAGCGACACAGCAAGATCCAGTCTCTTAAAAAAATAAAAATAAATAAAAACTAGGCCTATACTTTCCATGAACTAAGAATAAAACTCCCAGGCATTTCTCCCAGGGAAATTAAAATTTATGTCCATATAAAATCCTGTAGATGACCCTTCACAACAATTTGTAATAACCAAAACTGTAAGTAACCAAAATGCCCCTCAATTTAAGTGAATAGTTATGCAAACTGTGGTACTTCCATACTACAGACTACTACTCAGTAATAAAATGGAACAAACTACTGATACATGTAACAAGAAAAAAATCCACTGCCCAAAGGTCACTTCCTGTATGATTCCATTCATATGACATTCTCAAAATGACAAAAGTATAGACTATAGACGGAGAAGAGTTCATGGTTGCCAGGGTTTAGGAATGGTGCTAGGGTAGGACACATTTTAAACAAGGTGTAATTGTAAAAGGATAGCACAAGGAGATCTTTTTGGTAATGAAACATTTCTAATTACAGTAGTGGTTAAACAAATCTACACCATAAAATGGCAACAGAACCACACGTACACTGTACCTATATGAAATTCCTGGTTTTGATATTATACTGTAGTCACGTAGGATGTAACCACTGGGGGAACTGGGTGTACCGTACATGGGACTTCTCTGTACTATCTTTGCAACTACATGTTGAAATCTATAATTATTTCTAAATAACAAGTTAAAAGTAATAACTATTTGATGATATACAATAAACTTCTAAATTATCTTATTTAGGGGGAAAAATTATCTATTAAATCCATGAGACCTGAAGAAAATAAGTCATTTGCTCTATAATTTCTATTATTTTGATTTTGGGAGGGAGAGAGGTTTTGAAAAACCTACCTGATGTTTATCATTGTCCAGTTGACAAATTATAACATTACTACTGGCATAATGTAAAAGTAGATTGCTTTGCTTTGCAAAGACATTAAAAGTTAAAATATTGAAAGTGCACCTAGATTTGACTGCATTTGTCTTTCTTCAGAGATTAAATTCCATAGTTAACTGTGGCTAAATCTAAATATATAAACGTAATTCTAAGAAGTACATTTTTAAAGTATTTAATATAGTTAAGATTTCATTTTTGATACAGAAAGTATTTGTAATAGCAACAAAACAAAAGCAAACTGAACTAGAGGACATTTAAAATAAAAATAATAGTAATTTCCATAAAAGAGTTAAATAGTCCTATGCATTTACTTGAGATATTTCATGCCAGAAAAAAAATACGAACACACACATCACTTATAGCCAATATTTAATAATCCCAAATTAATTGATGTGTAAAAAAGTCTTTATGATCTGTTACCACCCAAAAGAAGGCATCATAATAACTTTCAAGAATATGTTCTTTGACTTCTAACCTCTGCTCTTCTTTAGAATTACCTGTAAGAGGGAAAAAAATAAGATTAATATTATATCTATGAAAAACAAAACATCATTCCTTAACAAAAAGTTAAATAGTCCTGGGTGCATAGTATGCAAGACTGACTTTATAAAACTGAATTTGGAAGATGATTAGGGAATCTTTTGTCTTATAGTCTTAGATTTCTCTAAAAATAGTCTTATCTCAATGAATATGAAACATGCCTAGATTCTAAAAACCTGGCTTTATTAGTTACCTCTAGATGTTAATTTCTTCCACTGTAAGCCAAAAGTGTTCAGATTAATGGTTTCGAACTTGAAATTTTTATACAATTTAGTTATCTAAATTAGGAGTTGCATAATACCAGTTAAGGAGTTAAACAATATTCTAAAACTCAAAAAGTCTATTATAAATCAGACATTTCACAACTATAAAGTAGGACAAATCCACTGCAACATTAAATTTATTATATTTGGACTGGAATTATAATCATTTGGGACTAAAACTAGTCATCTTATGCTGAACAACTTGTTAAGTAGATTATTTTTAAAATATATAGTCTGTGGTACAAATTTTTTAAAAAAGGAGATTTTTAGTTGTAAAAAGACTGACAGCATTAGTCAGAATATCTGTTTTTTTAAAAAAAAAAAAAACTTATCTACGATTTTAAGTAAATAAACCTACAGTTTATTAATACAAATCCTAAATTTAAAAAATACGTGTATATTCTTCAATATCTTAAGCCTTGTTTTTCCTGCAGAAAAATATTTACATTGACTTTAACAGTCTAGAAATTTGTCGAAATGTTTATAATTGCAAGATAATTTAAAATCCCTAGAAAATGCCAAGACATGCACACTTCTAGACTTCCACAAGACCATCCAATAAATCTGTGTCTAGGTTAGTACTTCTCTGTTCTACAAGATAATATCATGTGTACTTCAAAAGAAAGTTTGAATAGTCAAACGAATTTACAAAATGCTGAGTATATTATGTACTCAAATAAGCTTACAAAATACTAAATGGAGTTCAACAGGTTTCCTTACTGTTGTATTTCTCTCTTGGCCTTTCATAACTTTATAAAACTATAGTTATATAAGACATTAGCATTATGAGAAACTGGATACAGGGTGCATGGGAACTCTAAACTATTTTTTGTGCCTTCTTATTTTAAAATAAATTTAAAACAAAAACGTCTACAAAAAGGTAGACTGTCAAAAATAAGTTTCTCTCCTCTATCATCCCCAGTCAACTGTGGTTGCCAGTTTCTTACATATTCTTATAGAAACAAGTTCTACAATAATACTGTGACTAATCAAGGAAGTACAGTACGCCAGGTTATCTACACTTATTTGACCACAGAAGCGTTTAAGGTAGGGCCTTGATTAATATCATTTGGAAATAACATTTTCAGGAACATATCTGGAAAATTGCGCCGTAGACAACATATTCTTAACATTACATAAAAATAACAGTAAAAAGCAATCATCTCTACTTGTATATATTTTTTTTTCTTTTTTTTTGAGATGCACTTTTGCTCTTGTTGCCCAGGCTAGAGTGCAATGGTGCCATCTCGGCACACTGCAACCTCTGCCAAAACAAAGTTAAAAGAAATCAAATAATGATATAGTTTGGCTTTGTGTCCCCACCAAAATCTCATCTCGAATTGTAATCCCTTCATGTCGAGAAAGGGAGGTGATTGGATCGTGGGGGCGGTTTCCCCCATGCTGTTCTTCTGATAGTGAATGAATTCTCTTTCCTTCATAAATAACCCAGTCTTGGGTATTTCTTTATAGCAGTGTGAAAATGGACTAATAATGAGGTAATTAGGATAATTTTAAACGATCAAGAAGAAAGTAAGTTTTGATAAATTTCAAGGTGATATATCTTCTCCGTCTACAGATTAGCAGTCTGTAGGAACATGAATGTTTCCTCTAAAGCAGTGGCCATTAATATTACCATTGGAAATCAATAATATACGTATGGAGGAAACCTAACTCCTTAATTAAAATAATTAACTCATAAAAGGCCAAATATCGACTCAATCAACAAAGCTGAGTAAGGTATACAAATCAGGGAGAGGTGATGAAACGAGTGGTAATTTTGAAGTTTAATTCTTGCTCAAGAAAAGAAATCTGGATTTTACCTTTGCTGCAGCCAGTACATGCTCCTTGTTAATGACTCTACACTTACTCTCACAAGCGTTTGTCCTGGACTCTTCTGCTAATCGATGAACAAACAGTAAGCAGTTCAGATGGACCTTTAAAACAGAAAATCCAAGTGGATTTTTAAGTTCAAATACTGATGCACTGAAATAATGATTTTTAAAAATTAATTATCTCAAAATGTATTGTTATACTATTTACCATTGTGATTAAGTAAATTAAGTCTATTTAAAATTACATAGAATTCAGTCCCTCTTAGATTCCCTGCAGAGAGACTTGGTCACTGCAATACATAAAACAAGCTATGCAAGGCAGACCAAAGGCCATTTTGTAAAGCATCATTATATATCAAAATGTATGTAAGATTCACTTAGTAACAAATATTCCTGCTTCTGATTCCAAATGGATTTTAATTTATAACATAATTTAAAATTTCCAGAAATTTTTAAATCAAAACATACCAACAACTACATTTTAGGTTGTTATTCTACAATCTGAAGTCAAAGATTTTTAAACAGATATATTTAATTTGAAATATTTGTTTAAAAACATGTTAATAGTTGAAATTGTTTAAGTCTGCTAAATTGAAAAGTGTATGCACAAAGGTCAAGTTATTTGTCATCCAACAACTATCATAAAATAACCATACTTACTATTAATAATCTTCAAGCCTCTTTTAAAAAATTATTTAAAATAGGTAATATAAGCAGACTGAAAAATTTAAAAGTCTATAAAAAAACTATAGTTATGTAAGATATGAGAACTGTGGAAAGCTGGGTAAAGGATACATGGAAACTGTGTACTATTTTTGCACCTTCTTTTGAGTCTATAATTATTTTAAAAATATAAAACAACAAAGTTTATAAAAGGGTAGACTATCAAAAATAAGTCTATTCCCCATCTCATCCCCCAGTCAACCACTGCTGACACTTTCTTGTACATTCTTACAGAAACAAGCTCTACATAAGCAAAACATATGTACTCATCATCAGATAATACATCAATATTATCTGATTACATATATGTATAAACAAGCGCTGATATGTCATATAAAATAACATTTTGTTAAGTATTTTACTCAAAATCACCATCCAAAGCAACAAAAGTCCTAATCTACAAGCACATTCTTTGGAAAAAAGTTAAAGTACATGTAATCCAAGCAGAAGACAATGTGAAGTGAGCTAAAGTTGTATCTCAGTCTCCAATCTAGGATAATATGTAGTACTCTTATTTATATTATTGGATGTATCTTCCCCATCCTTTGCTTCTGCCAGGTACCTGAGGGCACTACCAACTTAGATCCAATTAGATAGTGTCTTTAACATGATTTATTTTGTTATTTACATCATGGCAAGTGATCTTTGCAGTTAGAAGAACAATTTATACACAATACTTAATATTCACTATCTTGTGTACTGAACACTCTCCCACAGTTCATCAAATGTTAAATAACTAGTAATATGGTATTTTAATGCTTTCTATAATGCAGAAATCTTTAATAGATTGTTATATAGATATTTAATAATGTTCTAGTGATATGTGGAGAAAACAGAGGTTTGGGAATTTAAACAAGATGAACAATCTATAAAAGGTGGATAATCTTTTGGTACATTTTTGATGCACTATCTTCTTTGATTCTCACAAGAACTCCGAGGTAAAGCAACCCAATACCAATTATTTACATTATACTGTGCCAATTATTTTTTAAACTTTCAATGATAGCCCATTTATTTTGGTAGCAAAAACACCCCATAGTATGGCACAATTTCATTTGTTAATCTATACTTTGTACTTCTAAAGGTAAATAGCTTCCACATACCCTCAGCACAAATTCCAAATTCCTTAACACTAAATCCCACTTGACTGGGGTTCTAGCTTCACCTCTCACTGTTCTAAGCTTCCAGTTCTACACTAGGCCTTTTGAATTTCTTTGAGAATTCAAATGCAATCTTGCCTCTAGGCATCCTACTTGTTTATAGACTTCTCTGAAAAGTCCATCTTCCCCCAATATGTAAGGTTATATTGATCCACAGCACTCTGAACTTCTATCACTGCATAGACTACATCATGCTGTAATTTCTCACTTAGCTGTCTTCCTCAGTGTACTCTAAGGACACGAATTATGCCTAGCCTTTTCAACACTCTATCCCCAGTGTCCCTTAACATATTTTTTAATACATAGTAGGTAGCTAATAATTATTATTGCATGAAGACCCCACCACATCTCCCCAAATAAGGCAAAAAAAAAGGTTTTTTTTAAATCAGATTTGATTAAACCACACTGTCTCAAGACTTAATTCACTAACCTAGATGGAATACCCTTTCCTCTTCCTGGTCATGAGCCATGGATATTGTGATGGTTAATACTGAGTGTCAACTTGACTGAAGGATGAAAAGTATTGTTCCTGGGTGTGTCTGTAAGGGTGTTGCCAAAGGAAAATAATATTGGAGTCAGTGGACTGGGCAGACCCAACCCTCAATCTGGGTGGGCACCATCTAATCAACTGCCAGCATGGCTAGAATAAAGCAGGCAGATGAATGTGAAAGTACTTGACTTGCTGAGTCTTCCAGCCTTCATCTTTCTCCCATGCTAGATGCTCCCTGCCTTTGAACATCAGACTACAAGTTCTTCAGCTTTTGGACTCTTGGACTTATACCACTTATTTACCAGTGGCTCTAGGGCCTTCAGCCACAGAGTGAAGGCTGCATTGGGCTTCCCTACTTTTGAGGTTTTGGGACTGGGACTGGAACTGGCTTCCTTGCTCCTCAGCTTGCAGATGGCCTATTGTGGGACTTCACCTTGTGACTGTGTGAGTCAATACTCCTCAATAAACTCCACTTCATATATACATCTATCCTATTAGTTCTGTCCCTCTAGCAAACCCTAATACAGATACTGAGACAAATTAGTATTACTTTTTCAGATCTCACAGAAATTTTTTCAAGCAACCTATATGCTTTCAAGCAACCTTACTCCAATGCACTAAGGTTTTTATTAAAATGGTCAGAACAAAAGTTACTTTTAGGGTATTAGCTAGGCATTCTAACTTGAAAAAGGTAAGCTATTCCATCAGTAAGTTACTTTTAAAAATCCGCTTGCTTAAAAATAAATCACAGGAAAATTTATAAAGAAATACTTATTGACAGTCTCAGTTGACAGAAAGACTGGGCCAGTCTGACTTCCTCCTCCCTTTGTCATAGCACTTTTGAATTTTACATGAACTATAAGCACCCAGATATTTGCACAGCATTTCTTTACATTTAACATGTTAACTCTCTCCCTAGTATCATCCCTGGGGCTAAACAATCAAATAAGGCATAAAACAAACAAAATAACAAAAAGCTAGTGAAAAAATGATAAAATAATACAAAGAAATTATAAATAAAATGCTAGAAATAACATCAATCCACATACAGTTGCATTTACAAAATTAATTGTAGACTCAGAATGTTGAAGCTATTATGCAAAACACCAGGAATACAAAAATTTCCAAATTCAAGTTCCCAGACTAGTAGGATAATCAAACCCATAAAGAAAAAGGCAAATGTGTGACAACAGATGATGGAAAGAAGGATAAGATTGATCCTTTCTAAGGACATTAAGGAAAGCTTCACTGAAGTAACATACAAACTGGATTTTGAAAAAATTGTAGGTTGCCAAGTAGAGGGAAGACTTCTTCAAGCAAAAGAAACATCATGTACAAATGCAGCATAAAAGTAGATTAATTTTGTGTTAAAGATAATGGGAGACAAAAAAGGAGCTACTCATTCTCCTCAAGAAGCTGCATATCGCCCTAGGAGGCATCAACATATGAAACTCCTAGACAACAGTGTTAAGAGTCGCAACAGCTCAATTGTATGATGTATATTCTTACTGCTGTCCAAGTTCAGAAAAAAGAACCGATCAAAACTAACTGCCTTAACTACAGAAAACTTTGTGGATGATGTGGGATGCAAGTGAATTACACTTCCACATAATCTCATTTGATCTTACCTTAGGTCTTTTCATGATTCTAGCTTTTCTTTACAAATGCTGCTCCCTTTAATTTTAAGGTTCCTCTCACTTAACCTTGGAATAACTTTCAGGTGTAGTTTAATGCTAACTCATTGAACTTTCTAATAACTCATTGAACTGGGTAAGATTATGAAGTGTCAAAGGTGAGCAGAAAGCTACAAACCATGCCATATACAAGACAGTGAAGGGGAACTGTTTAATGAAAGCCAAAGACGACGAGCATACTACCTGGGAAAAGCTAGTGACCAAAAGAACATTCTATACCCCATCAATGCAACCGCTTGAAATTTCAACTCACCCACTTTCCCATGCCACCTGGATCCCACCGCACTATGGAGCTCCTCTGTCCATGGGTTCTTCGGAGGAAGAAAAGGGTAGATGTGGGAGGATGCTAACTACTTGAGAAATTTCGACTAAGCAATTTGCACCAGTTGGTAGTCTCCTGGATATCTTTGATCAGGTACATTTCCTCTCCCTCCATTTAGAAGCCCCAGTGAAAGCTCCATAATATACTACATAAAAATGTTTTGCAAGTGAATTTCATTTTAATTCCGTTCATTTGTGCCACCTCTATCACCAGCATGGGGTAGTTAATTGGGGTCGAAGCACAAGGCAGCCTGTATTGCCTCTTCTCACAGGATTTAAGAAAGTAACAAAAAAGAAGGGCAGAAGATTGAAGTAATACTTTTCTGGGGGAAAATGTGTTTTTGTTGTGTTTTGGCTTCAGAGACCAAATATGGAGAAAAGTGGCGATAATTCTATAGCCGTTTAGCAAAAAGGAAGAAACAGATACGGTAGCAGTGGAGAACTCCGGGAAGTAAAAGAGTAAAGAGGAGGTAGAAAAACCAATGTCGTTTAAGAACAGCTAGGATGATGCATTCCCAAGACTATTCATGCAGTATGCTCTTATTATCCACAATTCTGTACCTTGATCTCCTGGAAATTATGTGTCCATTTGTAATGGCTCCTTTACTCAAAGAGCCAGGGACAAGATACCGAACATGCCTCCTGTGGTTTAAACCTAGAGAAACAGCGTTCATTGTGCCAGAGGAATATGTGTTCCAAGCATTCAACACACAAACTGAATTTATTTCAAGACAGAAACATTATTATACAGTGGGTTGATTGTGGCTTCTTATTAGGAGAATATTATGCTTCAGGTATTATGAGTCAGATAAGCAGGCTTTAGTAGTCTAGCTTAAAAACTGACTAGGTGTTCTATTATTTGTCTAGTAAAATGAATTAACAGTTGAGAGCATTATTCCTACAAATAAACTTTCCCATCAGGGTCCTTTAGTAAGCACCCTAACCTAGAGGAAATAGGGCAACATGTTTGGTTAAATGCGTAAATAGAGGAGAGACGGAGGGAGGCAAGGGAGGGAGGCAAGAAGGGAGGCCCTTAAAAGGCATGTGAGCAATGCCTTTTACAATAGCTAAATAAAAATGGCACAGACTGAATTCCAAAATCTATTTTTTAAAGGGTGAATCTTTCATACCCTTTGCAAGTACATTAATCACGGTGCCAGATTGTGTCCCTAAACAGCAATATTTAAAAACTGTAAGCAGTAACTGTACGTTAAGCTCACGTGACTAAGAGCCTCCCTTTAAGAAGATACAGATATTTACGTTTCGGCGCGGCCCGGTACAACTGAGGGCCAGGAATATGAACTAACATGCCAGGGTAGGGCATACGTATCCTGTCATTGCTGGAACTGCCTTAAACATGGGCCTGAAAGAGCTACAAATTGGCACGGGGCGGAAAAACAAAGGCTGGAAGTTATTGCCCTTACCTCTCCCGTGCCCCATTCCCAGCCAGAGAAGGGATGGAATCTCACCAGTAAGTCACCACTTTTCTCCAGACGAAGTTGAGGCTTCCGTCGCTTGAAGACTCGCTTTAGAAAGCCACGGGGAGCCTTCCGCTTTATCTGCTTCTTCTGGGAGACTATGGTCGACAGCGCCATCCTCTCCGTCAAGTACCAGCTGCCTCAGCTTCCGAGGTGCTCTCTGTATCGCACACAAACTCCGGGGACACTGGGCCAGCGATAACAATCCGGTCCCTCTTACGCTTCTTCAGGCAGAGAAACCCGGGTCAGAACTTTCAAATCCGCCGCCAACGGAACGCGCCTGTCGCTCAGTAGTGACGTCAACCCTGAGCAAGCCCCGCCCCCGGAGGCGCCTGGCTGTGGGTGGAAAACGCCCACGGTGGGCGGGTCCCGGGAATACATGACGTCATTAAGAGTCTGCCTCCTCCTTTCATCACATTCTGGATTACAACTTTTGCTCTGTGAAACTATTTCTGCTAGGTTCCCTAGAGATGATTGGAAGTTGTGGAGAGATAGATTGGTAAGCCAAGGCTGTTCTTCAAGCACTCACTCTATTCTGTCCCTAATACCAATGAACAGAAGTTTGTGATGTTTTATCAGGATTCCTAAAGCACCAATGCAATGCCTTCCTAGCAAGGAATGCATGATTTTCAGATACTAACAGTTAAGAATTTTACACTTCTACATAATTTCATTTGATCTTACCTTAGGTCTTTTCATGATTCTAGCTTTTCTTTACAAATCTGCTCCCTTTAATTTTAAGGTTCCTCTCACTTAACCTTGCAACAACTTTCAGGTGTAGTTTAATGCTAACTTATTGAACTTTTTGTTACTTCTTCAAGCTGTTAATTTATCTATCATCTGTCCTACTATAGAAGTATTAATAGTTATCAAACCTTAATGTGCATCAAAATCACCTAGGGGACTTGTTAAACTACTCTTTGCAGGGCCCGGCTCCCAGAGTTTCTCATTCACTAGATCTAGGGGGTACTCAAAAATTTGCAATTCTAACAAGTCAGGGACATTGGCATTTGCTAGTCTGCGGACCAATCTTTGAGATCTGCTGTGATTTTAATTATAATTATCTCTAATACTATCTCTATTGAGATCTCAATATTATATTATTGTGATCTCACCCACACAAATGATCATTCTGCTATCTGACCTCCCATTTCTAAGACCTCTCTCTGCCGATCATCTTCTCCTACACCCTTGAGTTATTCACGCCTGTGGTCATACCCTACGTGGTGTCATTACTAAATAAATACCTTACCTTCGGTTTGATCTGCCACTTTCAATTTAGTTGTCTCTCTTCAACCGTATCTTCTATCTTTTGAACTTACTCCCTCCAACAATTCTTCGATGCTACTGGGACTACTGTCCTATCTTTTCCAGTTCCTCTCACCACACCCCCCAGCCCTGCCACCCCACTCTATGCCTTATCTTCCCTCCTGTAGCCCATTGTGCATCGATCATCATAATACTCCCCTGTACTTCTCCACAACTTTCTAGCCATTCTCTTTTATCCTCATACTAATCTGGCAACATTCCAACTCTGCTTAAGTTAAAATCTCAATCTATTCAACACTTGCATCTATGTATTAATATTGGCTTAAGAAAACAACACTCACACGTATGTGTGTGATCTCAATTCAAATTCATGACCACTCATGTGGGCTCTAAGTACTGCAACAATCCTTTGATATTTCCTAAAGCCATTCATTCATTTACTCATTCTCTTAAATAGCTATGTCATGCCTTCTATTCTTTCTTACCTACCCCATTCTCAATCTCCAGTGATGACATTGCTTCAACAACAAAATAAAATGTTAAAAAATCCATGGAGACTTTCTGTATGCTTTCACCACCCTATCTTCCCATCCGTCTCCACCTGCTCCCATGGATGAGATGCCAACTACTCCACTTGTGCCCAAGATCAAGCCCCTTCCCCTTTCTTAAGGAAATTTCTGTAGCAATTCTCCTTGCTCCTCTGCTTCATGAATTTTCCTTCTTTGCCAATTTTTTTCCATCAGCATCCACACAGTTTATAATATCTCCAGGTTTTTGAAAACCCTCTTTTAAACTTACCTTTTGCTGTTGTCCTTCTACAAAACAAAACAAAACTAGAAACAGTTGGTTAAATTCAATGTCTCCAAATACTGTCCTCTCATTCTCTGTTGAAGCCAGTACAATCAGACTTTTCTACCTATCTCTTCACCAAAATTGTCTTGGTCAACATGACCAATAGCATCATACTTGCAAGTCCTATGGCCAATTTTCAGGCTTCAGTTTATTCATCTTATCAGAAGTATTTGTTGAGTTCATGATTTTTCCTTCCATAAAGCAATATATTTAATTGGATATGATTCTCTTCTGTTTTTCTTTGTACTTGATAGCACCTCAGTCTCCTTTTCTGGTTCTTCCTTTTCTTTTTGATCTCTAAATTTTAGAGTACCCCATGACCACGTCCTGAGATTTCTCCTCTATCTATACTCATACCCCATGTGATCTTGTCCAGTATAATGGCTTTAAATACTAAATTTACATCTCCAGCTGATTCTCCCCTAAACTTCAGGCATGTATATCCATTCATCTGATGGACTAGAATTCTAAAAGTCATCTTAACACCATGTCAAAAATTAGGCCTTGATCTGCCCTTGCTCCCCAAACATGTTTCTCCCTCTCTCTTATCTGCTAGAACTTCCAGCCTTCCAATTACTTAAGCCAAAATCTTGGAATCTGCCTTAGTCCCTCTCTTTATCTCACCCCACATTCAATCTTTCAGCAAATTCTGTCAGTTCTGCTTGCAGTATCTGATCACATCTCACCACTTCCACTGCTGCTGCACTTGGCCTAGACACCATCATTCACATGGCTTATTGCAACATCCTCCTGAGAGTGTCTCAATCTGTTTCTATTCTTTCTCAACAGAAGAGCTAAATTTAGTTCAGATTATGTCATCTCAGGCCTCACTAGTTGTTTCCTGTCTCCCTTAAAATCAAAAACAAAGTCCCTATAATGACCTGAGGCCTTACCTGCCCTCTACAAATGCACATGCACTTACAAATATATAATTAACTTTCTTATCTTCTACAATGGAGCAACTCACTCTCCACCAACTGTGTTAGTCTCCTTAATAGATTCAATGGTCCAGATGTTTTTGTCCCCCCAAAATTCATATTTTGAAATCTAATCATCAATATGCTAATATTAAGAGGTAAGGGCTTTGGGAGATGATTATATCATGAGTGGAGGGCAGAGTCCTCATAAATGGGATTAATTTCCTTATAAAAGAGGTCCCAGAGAACTGCATTCCCTTTTCCACCAGCTGGGAACATAGCTAGAAGGCACACCATCTATGAACCCCAAAAGAGGGCCCTCACCAGAACCTGACTTTGCTGGCACCATGATCTCAGACTTTCCATCCTTCAGAACTGTGAAAAACAAATTTCTGTTGTTTATAAGTGCTATCGTTTGAATGTTCCCTTTAAAACTCACACTGAAACTTAATCCACACTGTGGCAGTATTGAGAGGTGAGGCCTTTAGGAGGTGATTGGGTCCCCAGGGTTACGTCTTTATGAATGATTTAATCCCTCCATGGGTTAATGGATTAATGGGATATCATGGGAGGGGAACGGGAACTGTGGCTTTATAAGACGAGGAAGAGAGTCCTGAGCTAACACATTAGCATGCTCAGCCTCCTCACCATGTGATACCATGCACCATCTCAGGAATTTGCAGAAAGCCCCCACTGGCAAGAAGGCCCTCACCAGATGCAGCCCCTTCACCTTTAACTTCCTGGCCTCCATAATTGAAAAAAATTAAAGTTCATTTCTTGTAGATTACCCAGTTTTAAGCATTTTGTAATTGCAAGAGAAAATTAACTTAGACAATAAGCCCCCCAATCTATGTTATTTTTCTTATATCACCCCAAACAGACTAAGATATTTCAGACAGACCTCAAGTACATGCAGCACAACACACTCACACACCCATCAGGTGTTTGCACTGACTATTCCCTCTGTTAAGAATGCTTTTTGGCCAGGCAGAGTGGCTCATGCCTGTAATCCCAGCACTTTGGGAGGCCAAGGTAGGCGAATCACCTGAGGTCAGGAGTTCAAGACCATCCTGGCAAACATGGTGAAACCCTGTCTCTACTAAACATACAAAAATTAACTGGGCATGGTGGTGCACACCTGTAATCCCAGCTCCTCAGGAGGCTGAGGCAGGAGATTTGGTTGAACCCAGGAGGCAGAGGTTGCACCGAGCGAAGATGGCACCAGTACACTCCAGCTTGGGCAACATAGTGAGACTTTGTCTCAAAAGAAAAAAGAATGCTTTTCCCATTTATCTGCATAGGTGGCTTCATCACCTCTTTCAGGTTTTTGCTCTGACAAGTATCAGAGAAATCTTCTGTTTACAGTATAAACACATGTAACTACGTATATGCCTAGAAGCTCATGTACACACATACATACACATATTCAGTCATGTGCAGAATCTGATATCTCATCCCAGCTCTGTGTTCAGTAGTATTATGTTGGTAGCTAGAGACTGGTGATGGTACATGTATTTACAACATGGAAATTGGCAAATACCAAAATTCAGATATTATTATTATTGTTGTTGTTGTTTCTGAAAAGCAAGTTATTAAACAATTACCAAAATAAATTATACATATCACTAATGGCTTGAAATCCCTAACCGTCTCTGTGGTTCATTTTTCTTTGTAACACTTTTTGCCATCTAATGTTTGTTTCTGCATAGAGAAAAATTTTATTGTAGCTTTATTTATAATAGAATTTGAGACAAATAACTTTTATTAAGAGGGTAATAGAGACACATGTTGTCATATGTATTAGTTTTCTTTTGCCAATGTAACAAATTATCACAAACTTATGGCTTAAAACAACAAAAATGTATTATCTTACAGTTCTGAAGATCAAAAGTCCTAAAACTAAGGTATTACTGTGTGGCATTCTGTCTGCGGACTCTAAGGAAGACTGTTTCCTTGCCTTTTCCAACCTCTAGAGGCAACCTGCATTCATTGGCCCATGGTCCCTTCCTCCCTCTTAAAAGCACATCACTCTAACTTTTGTTTCCATCATCACGTTGTAAATCTACATAACAAAGAGAGGTTTTCTTAAAAATAATATTTATTCAGGAACAGGACATTGTAATGGGAGTATGCATGCCATCGTAAAATTTGTGCATACTGAGAGAAGTAAAGAATGACAAAGGGGTTTATTTTGGTTTTGGTTTTGGTTTTAGTTTTTGCGAGACAGTCTTGCTCTGTTGTCCAGGCTGGAGTGCAGTGGCAT